ATCTCAAGCAGTAGGGGCGCTGTGGCCCCACCGCACATCAGCCCACATCAATGTTTTGGAGTGTCGCACAGTGCTGAATGTGATTCAACATTTTGCTCCCGTGCTACAGAATCAACACGTGTTGATTCACACAGACAACATGGTGACTGCTGCGTACATAAACCGCCAGGGGGGTGTGCGTTCAGCCCAGATGTTACACATTGCGCGGAAGCTACTGTGTTGGGCTCACCAAAACCTGCTTTCCATCAGAGCGGTTTACATACCCGGCGTTCTGAACAGAGGAGCAGACGTGATGTCCAGGGGCGGCCCACGTCACGCGGACTGGACCCTCCATCCAGATCTGATGTTTCAGACGTGGCAGAAGTTTGGCAAAGCAGCTGTGGACCTGTTTGCGACGCGAGAGAACGCTCAGTGCCAATTATGGTTTTCCCTGAGCCCTCGAGACGATCCACCGCTGGGGGTGGATGCTTTTGCCCACAGCCCGTGGCCCAAAACGCTTCTGTACGCGTTCCCCCCTCCTCCTCTGATTTTACGGTTCCTGAACCGAGTTCAGGAGGAGGGACTGACAGCTCTCCTGGTAGCTCCCGAGCGCGTGAACGCACCATGGTTCCCGGTCCTGCAGCGTCTGTTGTCAGGTCGCCCGTGGAAACTGCCATGGAGGGAAGATGCTCTCCTTCAAGCAGGAGGAGCGATCAGGAGTTACCCAGAAATAGGTCAGCACCTGTGGGTCTGGCCGCTGAGCGGTCCCGCTTAGAGAGGATGGGTCTCCCTCAGGAGGTAGTGCGCACAATCCAAGATTCACGCGCTGCATCTACCACAGCCCTGTACACATCAAAGTGGACGGCTTTTCAGCGCTGGTGTACAGAGAAAGGTCTGGAGGCCACCTCATGTCCATTAGGTGGCGTGCTGTCCTTTCTTCAACAGCTGATGGATAGGAAGTTGGCATTCAGCACGATTAAAACGTACGCTGCAGCCATCTCTTCCTGCCACGAAGGGTTCGGGGACAGAACAGCTTTTAACCACCCGCTGATGAAGCGGTTTCTAAAAGGTGTACAAAGACATAGACCGGTTTCACGCCCACTAGTTCCACAGTGGGATTTAACGCTGGTCCTGCGAGCCCTGATCAAGGCTCCTTTTGAGCCTCTGGATCAAGTTTCACTTAAATTCCTGTCTCTTAAAACAGCCCTGCTGCTGGCTTTAACATCCGCTAAGAGGGTGAGTGATTTATCCGCCCTCTCTGCCGCTCCGTCATGTCTCAGAATCCAGGCTGACGGTAGTTCAGCTGATTTAAGACCAAACCCAGCCTTTATGCCTAAAAGCATCACGAGCTCTTTTAAATCGAGACAGATATCGTTGGAGGGATTCTTCCCTCCCCCCCACAGATCAGAAGAAGAAGCATCTTTTCATCTTCTCTGTCCGGTGCGGGCGTTATCGTGTTACATAGCGCGCACAGCTGCAATGCGTCAAACTCAACATCTGTTTGTGCATTATAGAGATGCGTCCGCAGGCCGCCCGTTATCCACCCAGCGCTTGTCACACTGGCTGTGTGAGGCCATTTCTGAAGCCTACAGAGCATCAGATCTAGAGCCTCCTGTCAATCTCAAAGCACACTCAACCAGGGGTATCGCATCTTCGACTGCTCTGCATAATGGTATGTCAATGCAGGACATTTGCACTGCGGCTGCATGGTCAACACCCTGCTCATTTATTCGCTTTTACCTACGTGATGTAACGGCTCGTTCCATGACACATTCTGTCCTTAGTGCTCTAACAGAATGAATATTGTTGTTCTCATGGAACTCTGTTTAAACTCACATCTGTCTGCATGCATTACAGTGTGAGATGTTGTTATCAGCCACAAGTTGTGTCTGTGATTTTGGTTCTATTGTCACTAATCAGTTCATGACTATTGTTACCAATCAGTTCATTGTTCAATAATCAGTTCATTGATATTAATCTGTTTATATTGTTCAATCATGAATCAATTGCTTCATGCCCCCCCCCCCCTCCTCTTTTCAATATCTTCCCCGTTGAAGTTTTTTTCCGGGGCATTCATGCTTTGTCAGAACGCATAGTTGCACAACATGCGTCTGTGCAGGGCACACAATTACGCGATGCGTAGTTATGCACATGGGGAGCTGAGTGACAAGACGTTTTTTTTGGGCAAGCTTCCGCTTCTTACTGTGTTCGAATGGACCCAGTGAGGCGAGGACCACATCCGCTTCGCCCTTAACCCATCAGCGACAGCCTTAAAGGGCGAAGCCTATATGAAATAGAACGTTGGTTACGTACTGTAACCCCAGATTCTATGAATATAGGCGTAGCCCTTTAAGCGTCGGGCCTCACTGGTTCCTGAATAGCTGAAGAAAAAGATTAAGCTATTTGGGAGCAGATTACCCGCTCTTAATGTAATTTATACGGATCGGGTGGGGCCCACACAGCAGGTGGGCGTGGACTAATTTTTTCAGTATGATGCTTGCGCATAACGGGATAAACCCACTAAGCGACAGCCTTAAAGGGCTACGCCTATATTCATAGAATCTGGGGTTACAGTACGTAACCAACGATTTTTGTTATTATTCCTTGACATTTAACACAGGGTGATCTGATTTACTATTTCATTGTTTCTGATGGTGTTTTGTGTTTATGTTTTTATTCCTGCTTTTGTAATTATAGCTTGTTGTTTTGTATTTGATGCTGTGATCATTTTGTTAAGCACTTTCGTAACAGTTTCTGTTTAAAATGCGCTCTATAAATAAATCTGGCATGACTTGACTCATGACCAGGAGTCTCAACTGGTGGCCCATGGGCCACATTAGGCTTGCTGGAGGGGGCTTTTGGAGGGTGACATTATAAATAAATAAAAAATATCTAATGATTTATAACATTTAGTAAAGAAAAAAAGACCAGATTCTTGGGGGGGGGAGTCAGTTTTTACCTTTTTTAAAAATATATATAAATCTAGGAAGAAGCGGGTAAAGATAATGGATGGACCTATAAACTATGCAGACAGTTCTTCATATAAAGAAATAAAGCATCAAGTTAAAGTATGTTTTACTCCTTGTACTCGCTCCAGTGTTCACATATTTGCAAAAGAAATGACAGGAAAACTGTTTGAACGAGTCCTTTTTTGTTGTTTGTATAACCAGTAAAATTCAGTTTGATGTCAGTTTTAGCCAAAGCTTGAAAGAGCCGCTGCAGAGGGACTCAAGAGCTGCATGTGGCTCCAGAGCCGCAGGTTGCAGACCCCACTCATGACGGTTCAAAGTTTTCTTGTCATTCGCATCACATGTGGTACATGAGGTGGAACGAAATTGTGTACTCAAGGTCCCAGTTACACCCCAAAATAGCAAAAATATAAAGTATAAAAAACAACAGTATATAAGGATCTAAGATATACGCTAAACACTTAACAATGTAATATAATACGGTGTATTAAACAGCAGCCTGAACATGAGTCTGTAGTCAGCAGATGGCTATGAATATAGCAGCATAAAGGCAAGTGATCAGCAGCATGGATAATCAGCAGCACAGATAAGTCACATATCAACAATTAAAGTGGCATTACAGTGATTTTTTCTTTTTTGTCCCCCTTATAGTGATTATCCTGGTTAGGGATTTATGAGTCTTAACAGCTTCAGGGTAGAAACTGTTCCTCAGTCTAGTGGGTCTACACTTAAGTCTGAGCTCAATGCTCAATGAGACTACCTGGATAATTGATTATGGTGACATTATTTACATGAACGCTCCTACAAGAACCCTGCAGATGTTGGATGCTGTTTATCATGGTGCACTAAGATTCATAACTGGCTGTGATTATCGTACCCACCACTGCACCCAGTATTCACTGGTTAACTGGACATCATTAACTTCACGCAGACTCTTTCACTGGTATATTTTCATCTTTAAATCACTTCTTGGTCTGCTGCCTTCATACATCTCCTCCTACTTGTCTCTGGGTGAGTGCAGCTACAGCGTGCACTCTCAGGACATTATTACCTGCAGTGTTCCCTCAATGAGGACTAAACTAGGCAAGAGGGCCTTCTCCTACTCCGCTCCTGTTTCCTGGAACATCTTACAAAAACATCTGGAGCTCTCGACCTTGACCTCTAAGTGGCTTTAAGAATCTGTTGGACTCCTGGCAGGGACCAATGCAGACATGTTCCTGTTTTTAGTTTTCTACATTCGCCTTAGAATCTAGCTGTTTTTTGTTACCTTTTTTTTTAGCCATCCTATTTGTTTAAAAAATAAATAAATAAAATAAAATAAAATAAATAAACTGGAGTATGACTTTTTATAACTGTTTATTGTTGTTGCTGTTGTCCATTGTTGTCATCATTCTTTGTTGAAATCAGGTCTCTCTTGTAAATGAGTCCTCGAGGCTCAATGGGATTTACCGTCTAAATAAAGGTTGAATTTAAAAAAAAGACTACCTGGATAAAGCTTGAACGAATGGTTCTAATCTGATGTCAGACCGATCAGCTGACCTGTGTGTCCTCCTGCAGGGGTCAAAGTTCAGATCGTCTGAGAAAATGAGCTCCGCCCACCTGTCCACAGGTGAGTCTGCACCTACAGGTCTATGAGCAGCCCGACCCGGTTCCTTTGAGCTCGACTGGTACCAGAGTCAGGATGACGCCCCGGCTTTAGTTTAGTTCAGTAAAACACTTCTCCCTGAGAATTATTCTAGTAGTTGTTGTTGTTTTGGTGTTATTCATTTTATTGAGACTTTGTTTTTTTGATGTTTTAAAATAAGGTTTGAAGGAAAAAAACTACTTTCTGTAGCACTTCCTGTTGTTTCTCTGCCTTTAGCCACAGACAAAACAAGCAGCTAAAGTTTTAAAGGCCAACACCAGTTAGCCAGGCACCAGCCACGATGCATTTACAGACCAGGAAACATGTTTGGAATTTTGAGTTTCAGTGGGTTGATTGTGTGTGTTGGCCCCACCCCTTCCTGTTTGCAGTGGATGGGACTGAACGGCTGTGTTTCTGAGCGTGCTCAGTGCGTCCTGTATCAGGTCCTTTACCTTCGTCAACTTCCTGTTGACATCTCTGATCAGGAAGTTCTTTCTCTGGCACACCCCTTTGGCTGAGTTACCAAACTCATCACGCTGAGGACCAAAAGCCAGGTGACCTTCATCGCCGTCATCATCATGGTCCCCAACACAGGCAGTTCATTAGTCAGGATGAAGCCCCGCCCCTTTACAATGATAAATACAGTTAAAGATTGTTTGTAAACAAATAAAATTTGTTTGTTTGTTTGTTTTCAGGCATTTTTTTAGAGATGGCGACAGAAGAAGCAGCCGTTACCATGGTGAACTACTACGCCTCGGCTCCGCCCACCATCAGGAACCAGCCGGTCTTCATTCAGTACTCCACGCACCGGGAGCTCAAAACTGACAATCTGACCAATCAGGTGATCTGGAGCTTAAGCCCCGCCCACTCAAGTCTGTCTGATTGTTTTGGCAATAAATGTGTAAGGGGCGTGGCTTGACGACAGGCTCCGCTCATTCCACTAATATCAATATCGGAGTAAAACCTGCAGATTATTACAAATGTTTCTCTGCTTCACTACATCTCATTGTTTGTTTTTATTTACTGTGCTCCACAGATGTTAGCAAACAACCAGTGTTTAATAAAGTTTTTTGTTGTTTGTTTGTTGGTAGAGGGCTCAGGTGGCGCTGCAGGCCATCAGCGCAGCAGCAGTGCATTCTGGGAACATGTCTTCAGGAAATGGGCGGGGCGTAGTTCCTGCTCAGAGTCCGGTTCTGAGAATCATCGTGGAGAACTTGTTTTATCCAGTGACTCTGGAGGTTCTGCAGCAGGTCGGCCCCTCCAGACAGAACCCTATTTACTTATCGTTGTAATTTATTGTCTTCTTAACATTTTGTTTTTTTGTTTATGCTTAACGTTTTACCAACTGTTGATTATTTTTTGTTGTTTAAGTTTTGTTTGTTTTGTTTACATTAGTTATATTTTTGTTCTTTTTAATATTTGTTGATGTTTAAAAAAAATTGTTTACTTTTGTTCTTATTTACTTTGGTGTTTACTGTCTGTTTATTTTTGTTTACTCAACATTTACTTTTTGTTGTTTTACTTTAGCTAATTTGTTTATTACGTATTAGTAACATTTTGTTTTAGTTTCCATTATTACTCTTTATTGTTATTTTTTTCTAATTAGTTGTTAAAGTTTTGTTGTTTACTAGTTTTAGTTGGGGGGGAGGGGGGGTTGTTACTCATTGCAGTTTATTTTGTTTACTTTTCTATTTTTTTTTTTTAATTCAAGTTCACTATTTGTTCTGGTTAAGTCATTGTTTTCTTCTAACAAAGTTAAGTGAGGTCCGCTGGACGGGTTCTTCTTGAAACGTTTCATCTTTTATCCAAAAGACTTCTTCAGTCTGAGGAGCTGCAGCAAACTTCTTATAAATAGCACCTTCTCGTAGTGGATCAACCAGTTTGTTGTTGACATCCAGAACTAGTTGTTCACATGATCAAGGGACCATCAGCCTAACCATTGATTGTTAATGTTCTGATGGCCACTTGCTATTTACAAGCGGCCTCCCAGCTTTTACTGGCCTCCCCCATTATCCCCCACCTGGTGCAACAACCTAGGAGATGCGGAAGCACCGCAAAGCTGGCTGCGTCGCTCACTTGGCAGCCTGTGCTGGGACCCCGACCCACTCCACACGCATATGTCTCTTCTCTGTATGTTGCTTTTTTATGTGCTGGGTTTTTTGCAGTCTCACGCTGTGTCCTGTAGGGACACTGTGCAAGATTTGATATTTTTTTGCCTCTCTTCCCTCGTGTTCCCCTTTTTCTAATCTAACGAAAAAGAAGTGCCTCTCAGAGGCTGCCACCTCAGTCACTCCATTTACCCAAGTCTGTGTCAGTTTGTTTGATTGTGGTTCTTCGGATGGGCTGTACTGAAATGTAATTTATTTGTGCTCTGTGCAATGACAATAAAGCTTGTTCTGATTCTTCTGATACTAGTAATAACAGCATTGTAAGAGGGTGATGAGCACGTAGGCCTCCACCCCTGTTTAATGATGGGAGGTTTCTTTTCACAAAGATGACCTCCTTCACTCCTCTCTCAAACCATCGTTCCTCTCTATCCAGGATGTGAACATCTTCATCCCTGAAAGAGTGACCGCTGGCCTGGAGATGAGTGTAGACCGCAGAGTCCTGGCCTGATGATGTTGATCTTCTGTGCTGGGCCATCCTTTTGGCCAGTGGCTGTTTAGTTTCCCCGATGTAAGACTGATCACAGCCCTCCTGACACTGAACAGCATACACAACATTACTCTGTTTGTGCCGGGGGACTGGATCTTTGGGATGAACCAGTCTTTGCTGTAATGTATTTTGGGGTTTAAAAACCACTGGGACGTTATGTTTAGAAAATAAACGTCTCATTTACTATGGAATGACCACTGGTCCGGGTTCCTCCTTTTCACCTGATGGTTGACTGGAGTCCTGTTTGGGTTTCTTCTCTGCTTTCAGGAAGGCCCAGTTAGGATATCCACATTAAGCGGGGCTATTCAACTACGTTGCTCAGGGGGCCACAGTTATTGAAAGCCATGAGCTCAGGGACCAGATATCCAGCAGTTATTGTCATTAAGTTAGTTTGTTTTATGGTTTGAAATCTAGTTTTATTTAAATTGAACCCATTTTTGGGCCGAACTGAATTAATCCGTGAGCCAAATTTGACCCCTGGGCCATCAGTTGTATAACTGCTCTAGACTGTCTTGTGTGGGATTTCTCCTGCCTGGCTCCTGAGTTAGTGGGGATGCTGTCTGCTCTGTGATACAGAGTCCTGATGACTCCTAACTTGTGCTCCAAAGGGTGATGGGAGTCAAACTGCAAATACTGGTCTGTGTGGGTGGGTTTGCGGTACACCTCGGTTTGCAAATGTCCTCTATCAGAGACTGAGACCTCACAGTCCAAGAAAGCCAAGCTGCCATTTTTTACATCTTCTCGTGTGAACTTGATGTATTTATCTACAGAATCGATGTGGTCAGTAAAATGTTGGACTTCCTGAGATTTGATTTTAACCCAGGTGTCGTCAACATACCTGAACCAATGACTTGGTGGTGTCCCTGAAAAGGATTTGAACCAGGATAACCTGCTTGCTGAGAGGCAGCAGCTCTACCAACTGCGCCATCGTGCTGCTCGCTCAATAATCCAGGTAGAAACATCTAACAAAGTTAAGCCAGGTCCTCTGGACGGTTTCTTCTTTTTGAAAAATTAGAGAGGAACGATGGTGAAGAAGCCATCTTTGTGAAAATAATCTGTCCATCATTAAATGGGGTAGAGGCCTCCATGTTCAACTGTCCCCCTCTGACAATGCTGTTATTGCTACTATCACTCAGCCCTCTGTGAATAGCAAGCAGCCATCAGAGCACTAACGATCAATTGTTAGGCTGATGGTCCTCCTTGATCATGTGAACATCTAGTTCTGGATGTCAACAACAAACTGGTTGATCCACTATGAGAAGGTGCTATTTATAAGAAGTTTGTTGCAGCTCCTTAGACTGAAGAAGTCTTTTGGATAAAAAAACTAAACATTTCAAAAAAGAAACCATCCAGAGGACCTGACTTAACTTTGTTAGATTAATCTACCCGGATTATTGAGCATGAATCAGGTCATTGTTTACTTGTTTACTCTTTGTTGTTTACTATCAGATCTTCAGTAAATTCGGCTTTGTGTTGAAAATCATCACCTTCACCAGAAACAATCAGTTTCAGGCTTTGCTGCAGTTTAGTGACGCCATGCACGCTCAGCACGCCAAGGCTGTGAGTCACGTGCACACCTTCTCACACACACACACACACATATGTATGTATAAAGGCGTGTGATTGGTGGAGCTCAGGACCAATCAGACTGTGGTGTCTTTCAGGCTCTGGATGGTCAGAACATCTACAACGGCTGCTGCACACTCCGGATCGACTTCTCCAAACTGAGCGCGCTCAACGTCAAATTCAACAACGACAAGAGCCGCGACTTTACCAGAACCGACCTGCCGAGTGGAGAGCTGGAGCCCGCAGCCGCCTTCGGTAGGCAGAGGGGCGGAGCAGGTCACTTGCAGACCACAGTCACTCACTGTTGTTGTCTCTACCTGTGAGGAGGCAGAGCCTTATCAGCTTACCTGCATGTGCGTTTCAGGTGTAGCCCTGCCGCCTTACGGAGCAGCATCGTTCTCTCCCACCTTCCACCAACACACAGGTGAGTCACCTGAGACTCAAGTGAGTCTGACTGAAAAACTGAAACAAAGTTTGTTTGTGGTTCAAAACACTTTGAACCACTCAATAATCCAGGTAATAATCCAACAACGTTCAATCAGGTCATCTGGATGCTTTTTTTTTCTGAGATGTTTCGTCCTTCATCTGAAGGACTTCTTTGGATTATTGGATTATTGAGCATGAACTTTTCTGTTTTAAACCACTTTGGCAAGACTGCTTCAGAGGAGTTGGTGGGGGAGAGGGCAGGCCCCGGAGGCCATTTTATCACCAGCAAAGTGGTTTTTTTCCCACTACGGGAGTGTACTGTTTGTGGTGGGATTCAGTTTATTGGTGGCTCCTCAGATTGCAGAAGTCCTTCGGCTGAAGGATGAAACGTCTCAGCAACAAAATAAACCATCCAGATGACCTGACTGAATGTTGTTAGCCTCACTGTTCCACCGACCTCCCTCTCATTCACACACATACTCTGTCTTACTACGGTTGATTTTCATTCCTCTTCTTTCAAGTGCATACCTCCACCTCTCCAAATTCTCTTCCACCTGTTTCCTGTTCTCACCACAGATCACAATATCATCTGCAAACATCATAGTCCACAGGACCTCATCTGCTAGTTGATCCATTACCAGAGAAAACAAGGGGCTCAGAGCCGATCCTTGGTGCAATCCCACCCCCACCTTGAAGCTATCTATTACTTGTACAGTACATCTCACCACTGTCCTGCTGTCCTCGTACATGTGCTATACCAGTCTACATACTTCCTCTTGTAATACTACACCTCCTCCCTTGGGACCCTGTCGTATGCTTTTTCTAAATCCGCAAAGACACAATAGCGTTCTTTCTGACCCTCTCTGTACTTCTCCATCAGCATCCTCAAAGCAAAGATGGCATCTGTGGTGCTCTTTCTAGGCATGAAACTATACTGCTGCTCACCGTTGCCTCTCGTCGAAGTCTTGCTTCCACAACTCTCTCCCAGATCTTCATTGTGTGACTCATGAACTTAATTCCTCTGTTCTTGCTACAACTCTACATCACCCTTATTCTTAAAAATGGGCACCAGCACACTTCTCCATTCTTCAGGTATTTTCTCACCCTCAAATATGCCATTGAATATTTGAGTCAAAAACTTCACTGCCATCTCTCCGAGACATTTCCAAACCTCCACTGATATGCCATCAGTTTCTACTGCCTTCCCCTTCTTCATTCTTTTCAGAGATTTCTGGACTTCACATCGCTATTTTTTCCACTTCCTGGTTCACAGTTTCTATGACATCTACTCTTCTGTCTTTTTCATTCTCTTCATTCATTGGCGCAAAGTATTCCTTCCATCTTCCCATCACACTCTCCTCACTTGTTAGAACATTACCATTCCTATCTTTAGGAAGCCTAATCTGCTGCACATCCTTTCCAGCCTGATCCCTCTGTATTGCCAATTGGTATAAGTCCTTCTCACCCTCTTCAGTGTTCAGTCTCCCATTCAACTCATCATACACCTTCCGCTTTGCTTTAGCTACCTCCTTCTTTTGCTCTACGTCCCATCTCTTTATTTTCCTGTCTCCTCTCTTCAGTCCTCTCAGTCATATTTTGTCTTGGCTAACGTCTTTCTTTGAACGGCGTCCTGCACTTCATTATTCCACCACCAGGTTTCCTTAGCATCCTTTCTCTTTCCAGATGACACATCAAGTACCTTCCTACTTGTCTCTCTAGTTACATTGCTGTAGTAGCCCAGCCATCTGGAAGCTCTTTCTTCCCACCCAAAGCTTTTAACAGCTCCTCTCTGAATCCTTCTTCAGCTTCCACCATTTGGTCTTCTTCTCTGATTTTACTCTTTTTCTCTTCTTCACAACAACAGTCATTCTACACACAAACATCCAATGCTGTCTGGCCACGCTCTCCCCTGCCACAACCTTACAGTCTCCAATCTCCCTCAGGTTTCCTCTTCTACACAGAATGTAGTCGCCTTGCATACTCCTTCCACTCTTATAGGTCACTCTATGTTCCTCCCTCTTTTGGAAAAAAGTGTTGATTACAGCCATTCCATTCTCTTGGCAAAATCCACCACCATCTGTCCTTCCTGGTTTCTTTCGTTGATGCCAAACCTACCCATCACTTCCTCTTCCCCTATGTTTTCTTCACCAACATGTCTATTCAGGTCTGCTCTGATCACCACTCTTTCCTCCCTGGGAATACTCTCTATCACTTCATCCAGATCTTTCCTAAATGTATCTTTCTCCTCCCAATCACATCCAAACTGTGGAGCATAACCACTGACATTTAGCATCAGACCTTCTACTTCTACCTTCAGACACATCACCCTATTCAACCATAGATGTCGCAACCATTATATGTGAAGGGGACATGTCCCCCCCCCCACATTAAAAAAACCTTCATTTTGGCCCCCCCCCCCCCCCCACACACACACACACACACTTTTACTATGAAACATAGTTCAGTCGGCGCAGTTTCTTTTTCTTCATGAACAAATCCATTCCACTTGATTAATAGGAGAATACTCAAGCCACTAAAACTCCACTCCAGGTTTTCCTGGTTACCTCCAACTCACTGAATCTCCTGCCTCAGCAGAAAATGCGCACAGGTGGAGGAGATGGAGACACCTCTGTGTTGCTCGCTCGCCAGTTTAGCAAGCTTAGTACGGGCAGTTGTTGACCAGGGGGTTTGTTCATAAACATATACACATGGTTAGGAGGAAATAAGTGGAGCGCTATGTCTGTAGCATCTTAGCTTAGCAGTAACTGTGACGCTGTAAGACGCTGCAAGTGTAAGAGATGTTGTGTGTTAAGGTTCATTAAAGCTTAAATGTCTTTAAAACCTCGCACCTTATTGTCCTCAAGCTTCGTGAGAAACATCATTTAGATGATCATCTGGACAGTTTCTTTTTTTGTGCTGAAACGTTTCGCCTTCGATCCGGAAGGCTTCATCAGTCAAGGAAATGCACAACAAAACTGATTCTTCCCCCAAGAGCTTACTCCAAAGTGGAACAAACCAGTTCTGCTTGTGATAAGATGATCTCTTAGATGCGCACACACCTACACACATCATTGTGTCCCCCCCACATTACGGATGCTTCTGATGCCCTTGTATTCAACACTCTTTTCACCTCTACTACATTCTTTTCTTCCAATTTCTCCTTCAGGATCACCCCTACTCCATTTCTCTTTCTATTCACACCATAGTAAAACAGTTTGAACCCTGCTCCAATGCCTTACTGCCCTTCCACTTGGTCTCTTGGACACATAAAATATCTACCTTCCTTCTTTGCATCATGTCAGCCAGCTCTCTACCTTTGCCTGTCATTGTCCCCACATTTAGAGTTGCACCCGTCAGTCCTACATTCTTGACTTTTCTCTTCTCCCTCTGTCTCCTGACACGTTTCCCTCCTTTGGTCTTTGACTAACAGTAGCACAATTTCTGCCAGCACCCTGTTTGTCAGCAGTACCAGTGGCGGTGTTGTTAACCCGGGCCTCGACCGATCTGGTATGGTTTCGCTTTGATGAACTCGCATTATTGTTTTGACAAAACGTAAGCAGAATTTTGAAATAAATTAAAAAAAACAAGGTTTGAAAGCTCAATTATCCAGGTAGATAAATCACAAAAAATGGTTAAATCATGTCATCTGGACAGTGTGTTTTTGGGAGAAACGTTGCGTCTTTCATCTCAAAGACTTTATCAGTCTGGGGCCTGCCACCAAGATCTTGCTTATAAATAGCACAACCTTGATTTGTTTCAAGCCAACCCTCTGTGGAATTTCCAGAAACTGTACTGTACTAGCACTAGTTTATTTCTAGCACTGTAATAAAAGTTTTGTTATTGTATCTGGTAGAGATGCACAAATCCGATACCAAATATCTGTATCGGTACCGATATCGGAAAAACTTCTGGATCGGGACCGATCCATGACTATGTAGTGATGTAGGGTTAGGTTAGCTTCAGTTAGCTTAGGAGCTCCACTACAATCAATATTTAATAACGGGTTCTCTCTTTTTCGAGCTACTTGACAGATATGTGACAGAGGTACTGTGTTGGAGATGGTCTAATCAGTGACATGAGACGTTAATTTTCTTTGACCCATCAAAATGAATGTGGTCATTTATTAACAGAATCAAAATTTAACATCAAAACATTGTACACTTGATTATTCTGATCGGCTCTGATTAATAAAACTTGGCACGTTTTACTTAATAAAAACAACAGACATTTCCTTAGATCTTAAATTAATGTCTGCAGACTTTTAGCTTATCTTTACTGGCAGAAAAATATAGAAGAGTTTTAAAGATGGGAAGTGAAGGAGTTTAAATGGAGGGAAAAGATGGATGAGGGAAAGTGTGTTGACGAGGAACAGCACCCTCCATCCGAACCCAGCTCAGCCTCGCTACACTCGGTAGTGAAGTGACTCGTTACCTTTGCAGAAGATAGGTCAGCTCCGGTACGGAGTTCCATTTCAACGCTACCTTTCAGCGTCTCCTTAGGATGGCTGAGAATCGTCCGAAGTAGTGACGGTACTCCGTTCAACAACACGCTCACCTCCCAGGTGGACTCACATGAGCTGTGAGTCCGTCAGAGGTTCCACTCAGATGTGGAAGATTCCATAATCCCAACTAGACTCGGAAGAACTCCCAACTAACTCCAGCACTTCAGAACTTTTGTTCTTTTTCGGAACTTCTGTTCTTCTGGAACTTCTGTTCCCCCAGAACTTCTGTTCTCTCCCAGAACTAACTGGAACTTCTGTTCTCTTTGGAACTAGGAAGTGTCGACTTTTAAAGAGTTCTGCTTCCGGTCACTTTTGGGAAGTCCTGATTGGTTGAAAGAACCAACAGGGGTGTGGTTTTAGTGACGTCAGAGGGTCACTACAAGTCAGAAAAACAGCGGAGATGTTTAGGAACAGACAGAGAAATGTTTTGGAGAAATGACAGACTTACAGGTGCCAGTTTTCTTGTTTCTGTCTGAGAGGTTTAAAAACATGACAGTTCGTTCCAATAACTGGTTTGCGACTGTCTCCGACTTTTGACCGACATCACACCTTTCTCATTTTAGACAGAAGATCAAAAATGCATAATTACTTTTTAACATAGACATTTAACTTGATTTCTACTTTGAATGAGGATTAAAAATCATTAATACTGTTTCACAGTTGATTTAAAATGAGTGGTTCATTTCAACATTTAAAATGGTTTGAACTAAACACACTTTTGCTTATCAAGACATTGTAAGATAGTAATGATAATATAAAAAAGCGAGTGTTCTTTCAATTGATTAGTTCAGGATACAATTAGAAAGTCTCTGGATGAGCTAATTTGTATTTCTGGATTCAAATCAATGAAATAACAGTTCCTGTCCCATGAAGGTCTTCAGAGGCAGGTCTTGACCGGAGGCCTAGTTCACTACAATTGTGCAGATCAATTCACTCTAATTCTATGCTTTGTGCTCTGAGTGACGTCACGTGCTAGCGTACTGACTGAACAAATTAAAGTTGTTGTTTTTACGTTTGACCAAGCTTTTGAAGCTCTTGGTGTGTTTAAGTGTGCTGTTACGGTGCAGAGTTTTCAATAAATTTGTAATTCAATACATTCATGTCTGCGTTTAAAAAAAACAAATGTTTTAAGTTAATTCAGCACTGGGTTGACAACAAAAATGGCTAGATCATGTCATCTGGACCTGTTTCAGAAACGGGTCCAGATGACATGATCTAGCCAATGTTGTTAATTCAGCACTGTTTTTCTGTATCAGATCGATATCGGATCGGTATCGACCGATACTAAACTGCAGGTATTGGATCAGAAGTGAAAAAAGTGGATTGGTGCATCCCTGTATCTGGTTACTGAGCAGATGTAGTGTCCTAGGATGTTGCAGTTAGAGTGCAACACAGCTCCAGAGAAATTCTTTTGAAGTGTGGCGACACCAGCAGAATGCTCAGAGTCGTGGGATAACCAGACTTCATCGCCCCGTTTTGATTTTCACTATTTAGTGTCAGCAGATGTGGAGTGACTCTTTTGAAAAGAACAAAAATCAGTTTTCATTTGTTTGGCAAATAATAATAAAGCTTTCCATTTACAATCCAAAGAAGTTCAATCTGGTCCTCTGGACATTCAAAAAAACAAAACAAAGCAAAAAAATCTAGAAACGTTTTGTCTCTCATCCAAGAGACTTCCTCAGTCTGAGGTGCTGTTTTCAGCTCAGTCTCTTAAATAGCACAGCATAGTAGCAATAGCATAGTCCAGAGGACCAGATTGAACTTTTTTGGATTTTTCTACCTGGATTATTGAGCATGCATCAGGATATTTCCATTTACAAGTTTGTTTTAATCCCTTGGCATTAAAAGAGACTAATAAAAAAGACCGTTACTGGAAAAAATTACCAAAAGGAAAAAGTTATAAACTTCTAAAAGTTAAGAGTGTATTCACCAAGAAAGGGGACTGGTGCTGCACAGTGTGAGTAATGGAAGAGTAAAAAAAAAAAAAAACAGACTAAATAAGCCTAAAAAAGATATAGCATCTAACTATCTGCTTTGGTTTAATTATAGCACTTTATAAACTTATAGCGAAAGGTAATTTTAACACAAAATAATACTTTAGCCCAAGTGTGATTATATATTACTTCAAATGTAACTAAAAGCAGTCAAAATATAGACCAGGGTCATCATATAAACAAATTGACAAAAATGTCATTATGAGTGTTTCTGTGAGGGAGGGAGGGCTTCTGATAGATCCCCGACCTCCCACGAAATAGACTGGCTGACCCTCCTCGTGGGCTTTGTTCATACTAGGCCACAGTTTGTTACAACGTCCTCTGTCCTCCTTGGACAGTTCCTCGGAGAATCTCAGATGGTTGTCCCGCAGGTAGGATGACGTTTTGGCTGCTTTCCATATAACATCTCTGAAGACTCGGAAGGTGAACTGAATGATGATGCCTCTGGGTTTGGCGATTCCTTGTTTCTTGGCACCAAGTTTGTGTATGGTATTGATGATGTCAGGCAGCTTATATTTTTGCTTTGGTAGAACACACTGGCATATTCCTAACACTTTTCTTCAAATGTCTTCTTTCTCCATCTCCACAGCTCCATTTAGTCTGAGATTCCATCTCTTGGAGTATCTTTCCAACTCAAATATCCTCTGTTAGCAGTTGTCCACCTGACCTTCTTCTCTTATTACCTTTTTTCGAGGTCACACACTTTGCCCTTTACGTCCTTTATATGAGCGCATGTCTTTTTGAAACCCTCAATTTTGAGCAAATTCTCTTTAACCGTGCCCTCAAGGTTTTTCAGATCTCGTGTTCATTAATACTGAAAGACTGAACATTATCTCATTTGTAGTAGATTGGTCAAGGTTGCTATGTTCGTACATGACCTTCTTTGGAGCAGGTGATTTAACAGGTGTAACAAGGAGAGGCAGAAATTTGTCCATTTCCTCTTCATTTAATGCAAGTGTTATCAGTGTGGCAGTGTAGTTATGGCAGATATCAAATAACACGTTGCCAGGTGAAGCATTAGCCTCGTTAGCATTCTCTGATGTTAGCTTGGATTCACAAGTTTCTAGACCTCTTTTCGCTCCTTTCTGATTCTGCATTCTGCTGTTTCTTTTCCTTTTTTAATTTTAATTTTAAAGTTGTTAGCGCCAGCTATCATATAGTCAAGGTTTTATCGTTTTTCAGGAACTTTTTATGCAGAGCTCGGTATAGAGCGTCTTTTCACTCCGCCATCTTTGCCGTCCCCCCATCACAGACTCTTTTTCGTCCTCAGGTCTGCCTGTGGCAGCCGTCCCCAGCTCGTTGGCGTTTCCTCCTTGCATGGCACTGCAGGTGGCGCCCCCTGCCATCCACTCGGTGCTGCTGGTGTCCAACCTGAACTCAGAGGTCAGAGGTCACATGCAAAGCAGCTGACCGATAAGAATGCAGCACTTTGAACTAACTATTGACAATGTTTGTTTGTGCAGAAAGTCTCTCCTCACTCCCTCTTCATCCTGTTCGGTGAGAATTTTCAGCTGCTTCTGATTGTTTACCTGTTGTTGTTTACCCGTTGTTGTTGTTGTTGTTGTTTACCTGTTGTCGTTTACCTTTCTTCATGTACTTGTCACTGTTTACCTGTTGTTGTTTATCTGTCATTATTTACCTTTTGTTGTTTACTTGTTATTGTTTTCTTGTTGTTGTTTACCTGTTGTTGTTTACCTTTACCTTTTGTCTGTTGTTTACCTGTCGTCGTCATTTACCTGTTTTGTTTTACCTATTCTTATTTACTTGTTGTTTACCTGTTGTCCTTTGCCTTGTGTCATTTACTTGTCGTTTACTTGGCATCATGTATCCGTTGTTGTTTACCTTTCTTTGTGTACTTGTCATCATTTACCTGCTGCTGTTTGTCCGTCATTGTTTACCTTTTGTCGTTTATCTGTCGTTGTTTTTCTGTTGTTGTTTACCTGTGGTTGTTTACCCGTCCCTTTTTTCATATTTTTTTACCTGTTGTGTTTTACCTGTTGTCATTTACTTTTTGTTGTTTACATATTGTTGTTTTCCTGTTGTTGTTTATCTGTCGTTGTTTACCTGTTGTCATTTGCCTGTCGTTGTATATTTGTTGTTGTTTACCTGTCATTGTTTACTTGTCTTTGTTAACTTGTTGCCATTTACCTCTTGTTGTTTGCCTGGTGTTGTTTATTTGTTGTTGTTTACCAGTCATCACTTACCCATTGTGGTTACTTGTCCTTGATACTTGTCATTGTTTACTTGTTGTTCACCTGCCGTCATTTACGTGTCATTGTTTACCTGTTGTTGTTTATATGTCATTGTTTACCTGTCATTGTTTTCCTTTAGTTGTTTTTTCAGTCAACCTTTATTTATACAGGTTAAACCCATTGAGCCTTGGGAACTCATTTACAAGAGAGACCTGAATTTTAACACAGAATGATGACAACAGCGGACAACAATGACAGCAATAGACATAAAAGGAAACATAAAAAATTAAAAATAATAATTTAAAGAAAATGGTATTAAAAAACGAAACAAAAACATCTAGGTTGTAGGGCGGTGTAGAAAACTAAAAGCAGGAACATGTCTGCATTGGTTTTTCCCAGAAACTTAATAGATGTTTGAAGCCACTTAGAGAGGTCAAGGTCGAGAGCTTCAGGTCTTTTTGTAAGATATTCCAGGAAACAGGAGCGGAGTAGGAGAAGGCCCTTTTGCCAAGTTCAGTCCTCACTGAGGGAACACTGCAGGTAATAATGTCCTGAGAGCGCACGCTGTAGCTGCACTCACGCAGAGACATGTAGGAGGAGATGTATGAAGGCAGCAGACCAAGAAGTGATTTAAAGATGAAAATATACCAGTGAGAGAGTCTGCGTGAAGTTGATGTCCAGTTAACCAGTGAATACTGGGTGCAGTGGTGGGTACAGTAGTTACAGTCAGTTATGTTTAACAGTTTACCTCATGTTTTTTACCTGTCCCTTTTTTTTTGTCATTTTTTACCTGTTGTGGTTTAACTTCATGTTTTCCAATCATTGTTTACTTCTTGTTTACCTGTATTTGTTGTTTAGTTGTTTATCTTTTGTCATTTAACTTTTTTGGTTATCGTGCCATCGTTTACCTGTTTCTGTTTGCCTGTTGTAAATTACTTGTTGTCATTTACCTGTTGTTGTTTGTCTGTTGTTGTTTACCTGTCTTAGTTTACTTGTCATTGTTTACCTGCAGTAATTTACGTGTCATTGTTTATCTGTTGTTGTTTATCTGTCATTGTTTCCCTCTTGTTGTTTACCTGTCCCTTTTTTCTGTCATTGTTTATTTGTCATTGTTGTTTACTTGTTGTCATTGTTTACCTGTCGTCATCGTTTACTTGTTGTCATTGTTTACTTGTTATGGTTTACCTATTGTGATTTACTTGTTGTTTACCCGTCGTCGTTTATCCGTTGTCGTTTACCCATTGTCCTTTACCTGTTTTAGTTTACCCATTGTCTACCTGTCGTTTACTTGTCGTTGTTTACCTGTTGTCGTTTATCTGTTGTCGTTTATCTGTTTGTTGTTTATCTGTCGTTATTTTTCTATCGTTGTTTACCTTTTTCTGGTTGATTTTTACCTGTCTTTTTTTTACCTGTTGTAGTTGTCCTGTCCTCATTTACCTGTTGTTTACTAGTTGTTTAACTGTTGTTGTTTTCCTGTCATTGTTTACTTCTTGTTGTTTACCTGTCATCATTGTTTACTTGTTGTCCTTACCTGTTGTCATTTACTTGTTGTTTTCCTGTTGTCGTTTACTTGTCATTTTTTGTCGTTTAACTGTTGTCGTTTACCTGCCAATGTTTACCTTTTGTTGTTTACAGGTGTTTACGGGGATGTTCAGAGAGTGAAAATCCTCTTCAATAAGAAAGAAAATGCTCTGGTTCAGATGAGCGATGCGACTCAGGCCCAGCTCGGTCAGAAATGTTTATTGATGGTTTTTTTTTGTTGTTGTTTTTTTCCTAATAGTTGTTTATTCAGGAGTCAACATGAGCAGTTTCTGTTTGTCTGAGATGAGACATACACACTATACTGCATACTTTTACTAAGGTCATGTACACACTATAC